AAGCTCCATTTGCCCCACCATTGCAGCGCTTATGAGCTGGGCATGGTATCTTGAGGTATGTAGAAAAAACATTTAAAACTGTGCCTATGGTCGAATCGCTGATTCTCTGAATCAGCATCGAATCTTCAGATTCAGATTCAGCCGAATTGAATCAGGGACAGTGAGCCGAATCAATGGATCGAATCACTGTCCCCAATTCAGGCCGAATCTGAATCTGAATTGAATAGGGCCCGTTTCACACCCCCCTAGTGGCAACCATCTGCAGGAGCCAGCGGCAGCTTTGGCAGCGGCCAATCTCAAGGGGGGCACTTGACCTCCTGTGCCCCCGCTATGTGTTACCTATGGTCTTGCCTGCCTTCCTGCCTGCCTCCCTTCTTCCTCCCTCCCTCAATTTGTTCTGCAATGTGTTTGTTTATTTTGAAGGGTAAGCTGGGGAGGGGAGAGAATTATTGGCTAGTGAAAGAGCATCAGGGGAACTTTGCAATGGGATTATCTTAAGGATCTTTTGATTAAAAGACATTTAAATTACCTGTTTTTCCAAAATGTTAGGATCAGAACAATCACAATGACTGAAAAGATGAAGCCCACAGTGCACAGGGTAACCATTATCATGTCGCTGTCTAGCAAAAAATAAAGAATAGATACCACAAGGTTACTCCTTCTGTATACAGTATTGTTGTGAGCTCTTGTAACCCGACCAGGGCAAGGTCTTCGACGTGACCTCGAAGTGGGACTCCAGCAACCACTTCATGCCCAGTGGGAGCTTCATGCGCTTCATGGACTGGCGCTTCGTCCACCATGCCCACCTCAACTGCCTGCCTCTGAACGAGGCCGTCCGCTTCAGCCACAGGGACAAGAGGTGCCGATGGTGCGGCTACACAGCAGAGACCCTCCCCCACGTGCTATGCAGCTGCAAGCCGCACGCCAGAGCCCCGCAGCTCTGCCACAACGCTGTCCAGGACTGCCTGGTGAGGGCCATCCCGGCCGCAGCAGGGGAGGTCTGCGTGAAACGACCCGTCCGGGCTGCGAGAGCCAGATGTGTCCCGACATCGTCATCACCAATGAGGAGGCCAAGAAGGTCATGATCGTGGACATTACCATCCCATTCAAGAACCGATGCCAAGCCTTCACTGACGCCCAGGCTCCCAAGCGGGAGAAGTACACCCCGCTGGCCGACATCCTGAGGGGACACAGCTACGACGTGACGGTTGACACGCTCATTGTGGGAACACTAGGAGCTTGGGGCCCCAGCAACGAGAGTGTCCTGCATGCCTGCTGCGTCTCCTGTTGCTACACCAAGCTGATGCACTGCTTCATGGTGTCTGACATGATCTGATGGTCCCGTGACATCGATGTGGAGCACATCATGGGCCACGGGCAGTACTCTGACCCTATCAGACTGACCGCTACCTGACCAGACCGCCTGAACCCCCACTCTGCACCAGATGGACTTCACTTCAAGAGGAATCTTCAGCAATGGACCACCCTGAAGAGGCCCCCTGCGATGAGACTCTATATGGACTGAGACACTTTTTCTGCGAACCACTTCTTCCACTATTGCAGACCATTGTAATGGGTTTGTGTGTATCTATCTTATCCTCTCAGCATCGTGAGTCCCCTCCCTCCCTTCTCCCTTCCCCCTTCCCCCGGGCTTAGTTGGCTAACCTTGTATCTCCTGTAACCTAGTTGCGTTCCCCTCCTCACCCCCATCCTTCTATTGTTAGTCCCTCGCTCGGGCACTATGTATTTCCCTACCGGCTTCGTCAGCTTTTTTTGGATTCACAGTCCTAAACATTTACTAATAAAAGTCAATCTTTACTTTCATGAAAGAACCAATTTATGATTAAAAATAGCAGACAATATTGCCAAATGATACAGTCCCCTGCTTTGGATTACAAACCCACTCAAATTCTTCTTTTTTTCTATCTGTCTGGAGGTGACAAAGGGGCTTTGCACACCTTCAGCCCTTGGGTGGCCAAGGAAGAAGAGAACTTTCTAGTTCAGGCTAAGAGCTGTTCAAATATGCCTCACTAGCTCATGTAGGTTATGGTAACTTGGAAGGTGCTCTAAGTTATGTCCAGGGCCAAACTAGCCCTTTGGGATTGGAGGCCCTATGGCAAAATACAGGAACCTTCTGTTTTTTGCATTTTACAGAGCACACTTCAGTTTTTAGCCTTCGATTTCTAAGACATCAGTCTAAATCTGGCCTGGCTTTGGAGTGATACACCAATACATGCTTACAAATGAAATGGTGACATTTCAACCACAATCTTGTTTGTGATTAATTATAAGCTGATTTCAGCTGTAATGTGTCTGGAACTCGACAGAAAAAGAGGGAGCAATGAGTATCAGCCTGATCCCCAACCTCTCTTGTACCAAGTATCTTAGTCGGGTTTTAAACATTTTACAAATGTAAGACTCTGGGGACTCTCTGCTTACTTTTCTCCAGGGGAGGTTTCATCTCCGTGGTGAAGAATTCAGAGGTGCTCCAGTCACTCCATGTGCCATTGAAAAAATTTCCATTGGGCTTTGAGCGCACTTTCAGTTCATACACTGCACCCATTTCAAGGTTTCTCCCCAGTAATTTTATCTGAAGATACTGAGACTCTATGGTCTAAATAGGGA